CGGCAAAAGGCTGCCCCAAGAGCTGCTGCGCGGCTCTTCTCTGGCCCTTCCGGCGTAGCGCGTGAGGCCCTTAGTTGCAATTTTTACTCACACGCTGTAAATTAACCTTTTGTCAATGGAAATGTATTCTCCATGACCTTTCAGTGCTAAAAGACATATATTGCTGCTCTGGAAAGAAAAATGTCCCTCCCTCTGGGTTTTAATATTCAATGATGGAAGACATCACAACCCTTTTGTAAAATGATTGTATAGTCAGACATCGGTATCCATGGGGGATCCCTTCTGCGCCCCCCACCCAGATACCAAAATCTGTGCATACTCAACTCCCATTTAAGTTAATCGTGATGCGCCCATGTGTACGCGTCACCATTAAGAAAAGTGAGGGCTTGCCATTCAGATACAGAAGGCTGACTGTGTAACAAATTATTGACTTTGTATCAGAGGTATACAAGACTTCGCATAGACACATATTTTGATATGTGATTATTTTTTTCTAGAGGTTTTTGCATAATGGTTTCCCATTTTTTTTTACATTTTTTGTTTTAAGACAATTTTTGCTCAATCAAAAGTAAATCAAAAAGGCTGAATTCCTTTAAATGGACAGCTTCTCCTCAGGGAATTTTTTTAGGAAAGAAGATAGGATTTAGATTAATCGGTGAGAGTTAAACTCTAGACAGATATTATTTATTCAATTTACTTCATCCCACATTTAACATAAAAATAAAGGAAAGAACTTGGTATTTGGGAGGATAAGTCTGTACAATATGAAATATTTCAGCTTTTCTGCATCTACATATTAAATGTCATCTCTACTCTGACCCTCTTTAAAGTGAAGACAACAACTTTCCATGCAGGAAAAACTGGAAGATATAAAGTTCTAAAAGCACATCAGTGCCATCCACATACCAGTTTGAATGGTCACCTCAAGAGCATAGAATGACAAAGTTTTTACCTCATCAATGAATGGAATTAACACCACAGCTTCCCATTCTTGTTGCTTTCCATTCAAATCTGTTTTAAATTCTGGTGGATAATATTCAATAATGGGGGAATCTTCACAGGTCATCAGGTGCTAAAACAATAGAAAAGATATTATACATATTATTCTGAATGGCAGTGTTATGGTATTTAAAGTTTAAAAACTGACAACAACTCACAAAACAGCTTTAACCAGCAGAAAATCCAAAACAGAAATACTGAAATACAAGCATACCTCAGTTAACTAACTTCTTTGTTATTTTTTTTACGAAGTCCTCTTACAGCCCCCCTTTCCAACACATCCTTTGATGGATTCTTTTTCTTTTTTAAGCAGTATCAGTACTAGAAGGATGGTGAAGGAGGGCTGAAGAAACACAGACTTCTGATGTCAGGTTGCAGCAACCTCCAGAATCCTGTACTGGGCATACATGAACACTAACATAAAAAGGGAATAGCAGAGAAACCTGTCTCACCTGCTACCCCTAGATTTTGGCCAGCAAAATGGAAAAAAGAAAAGTGGAGATTGGTGAAGAACAAGTTGCTTACCTGCAACTGGTTCTTCGAGTGGTCATCTGTGAACTCAAATGAGTTCACACCTGTGCAGTGCACCATTCAGGACCTTCTGAAATACTAATGTAAGCATTTTGGCAGTAGCCACGGCCATTCCTTTCATGCCTAAAGAACATGCTTTCCACCTAATGCCTTAGTTCCACAGATGCCGAAACAGGAGCCAAGGATTTAAGGTGAAGGCAGAACACAACAAGCAGACGACCAAATGAAGAACCACAGTTACAGGTAAGCAACCTCTTATTCTTCTTTATGGGATACTAGCAAACTACTAACTATGCCACACAGGAAAAAAGCACAGCACTCCCAAATGTCGCATCCACCTGTGATCTTGTGTCCAGTCAATTATGAAAAACTGAAGTTGAAGGGCTGGGACCAGGTGGAAGCTCTATAGATATGATGTAGAGACATTTCCCTCAAAAATGCTGCTGATGCTGCCAACAGTCTGGAAAGTGACTCCTCACTTGAACTGGAGGCTGCTTGCCAGTAAGTTCATAAGCGAAACAAATAGTTGGTGTAAACCACTTGGAGTGGCATTGAGATGTCACGTCATGTGACATGAGTAACAGACAAAAAGCCTCTGTGATTTTCAGAAAGAGGCAGAGCGATCAACATAAAAAAATGTCCTACGTACATCTAAACCATGCAGGGAGTGCTCCATGTCAGTTGAAGGATTCTGCATACATGCAGGGAGTACGATGTCCTGATTCAAATGAAATGCTGGCTCAACCTTTGTTGGGAAGGAGATGTCCAGTTGAAGGATCACTTTATCCTTGCGGAAATACTGATAAGGCTGATCTACACAAAGCACACAAAGCTCTCCAGCCCATTTGTTGGAGGGGACAGCAACCAGGAAGGCTGTTTTCTAGGTGAGCAACCTGAGATCACAGCATGCCAAGCATTCAAAGGTCTTCCTGGAAAGCCGAGAGAGGACACACTACAGATTTTATTGAGAGCTAGGTCCCATTACAGCTGGTGCAAATATTGATATCCCTTTGAGAATTTATTTGACTACAGGGTCAGAGAAGCAAGAAGGCTTGTCCAGGCATTTGAAATGCCAAGAGATAGGTGATAAATAGCATTTAATAGAAGATAATGGCAAGCCCTTGTCAAGAGAGTGATACCAGAAAGTCCAAGACATGTGCTGTCTGTGTTTCATTAGGATAAACAAACTTAGATTGGAGGAACTCTGCAAACTTTGCCCATTTGTAGGAAAAGAAATGCCATGTAGACAGCTTGTGCACTGCCTTGAATATGCATTTAATGGGATTCAATAGTAATGTCATAGAAAAATCCTCTGTACTATGAGATTGAGAGCTTGCAAATCAAGATTCCTCACCTTCCTCCATGGATGGTGAGAAGATCCAGATGAGATGGCAACTTCAGGTATTTCCTTTGGGAGCGGTGAATCAGAGAGGCAAACTAAGTTTGCCTGGGGCATGATAGGTGATCAGAATGCACTTGCCCTTGTCTTGGTGAATCTTGACAATCACCTTCATGAGGAGAAAGAAAGGCATACACCATGGGACCCCTCCAATTGAAAAGAAATGCATTGCCTAGAGTACCCATTCTCTGTGGGCTCTGGAGCAGAAGATCTTGCACTGCCTGTTCTAGTTGCTCCCCTCCTCTTTGAGTGTGGGTGAAGAATAAGTAACACAGAGAACTCCTGTAGGCGGAGTCTTCTAGAACTCTATGGCATAAGTCCTTCTGATGATCTCAAGGACCGATAAATCTGAGGTGGAGAACCAAACATAATGGAACTTGCTTAGCCAATTATCAAAAGATGGAATGGTGGATGAGATAAAGCTGGTGGTGGAAGGTGCATTGATAACACCTTCTCCAACAAAGACGCCATCTCCCAGAGTCTTGGCACCCCTTTTTAATATGGAATAGACAAATCATGTAGCAGACATCTTTTTAGCAGTGGGTTGGAAAGCAATCTGCTTCTGTTCACAACTTGTGAAACAACTGTAGGTACTTCTTGTTCCTGATGAGAATCTATGGAACCTTGAGTGTGATGCTTGAGGTAATGGGTGGAAACTAAATCTTTCTGCTGTAGACCTCATCTTATGAGGGTGCTCTAATTTTTCATCAGTGGTACAATTGAACAAACTGGCCTCATTGAATGGGAGACCTTCTATGGTTTACCGTGGTTGTTGGGTAGACCTGATGAGGTCAACTAAGCATGATGCTGAAGCACCACTCCTCATAAACTTATACAATATTAATCATCTTAGATGTAAGTGGAACTGAAGACAGAGTTGCCCAGGATTTCCTGCCAACCTGCAAAATGTAAGGCAATGGCGAAAGCAAGGCAGGAAACAATGCCAGGCTTTGTACCTACTGGAACACAGGATCTTGAATCATTGGTTCTGATTTACGAGGACAATTTGTGAGGCCAAGTTGTAGCTAAGGTGACAGAGGCTGTATGAAGAGCCCTGTTCTCTGTCACTGCCTCAGTAGTCTCAAATGTTTTTCCCCACAAGAGTGCTTTTAATCTCAAATCCTAGTTTCAGTGGCCCTGAGGAGTAAAAGGCCTGCAATGGGAACAAGCTCCAATGTTAAGGCCCTCCCAAGACAAAGGAAACACTTCATGTGTCCATCTGTTTTGGGTATTTTGCCTCCACAGAAGGTGCAGCATTTTATAAAGCAGAAGAGGCCATAAACTAGTGAAGGCAGTGACGAACAAGAGTACCAGCTACAGGAAGGAGGACAAAGAAAGAAAGTAATTACAAGTCTGGTCAAATCCAATAAGGCAGTCTGATCAAGAGATGGACCAAAACACAGTAGAATATACTAAACAATCCAGGCCAGAAACAGAGAGAGGAAAAGTACATACCTCAGAAGGCACCTAATTGATGCTGCTGCTACAATGGACAACAAGGAACTGAGGTGTTAGGTGAGAAGCATGTACATTAGGTGTGCAGTGGATGGGCAGGGCTACTACCAAAACATTTACATAACTATTCCAGAAGGTTCTGAATGATGTACTGTACAGGTGTAGATAACCTATTTGTGTGAGTTGCAAGGACCACAAAGAAGAACAAATAATCTTTGGATGCATTATGGAAGCTTTCAACTAGTCATTAGTAGGTTCAAAATATTTTTGTTTACTTATGCAGAACTTACCTATCTGATAGTATCATTTTACATGTGCATATTGTTAGTTTTGGATGAAAACTCTGAAACATATTGAACTGCTCTTCTTTTTTTGTGATGCAGGAACCTGCCCCCATTCTTACAATTTCATTTCTGTCTGTGGTTTCAAATTTTCTGTTAAAGAAGTAATATCTATACTTTGTTAACTGAGGAATAACTGTATTAAAAATGTGAAGTAAATTGGTTGTTGTTGTGTGCCTTCAAGTTGTTTCTGACTTATGGTGACCCTAAGGTGAACTAATGACAGGGTTTTCCGAAGCTGAGTGTGACTCACTCAAAGTCACCCAGTCGGTTTCCAGATCCAAGCAGGGGATCAAACCCTGGCCTCCAGAGTCATAATCCAATGCTCAGACCACTACACCATGCTGGATCTTGTGAAGCAAATAATGACTTCCAAAGTTACCGAATAAAAGTATTCACTGCTTGAAGAATATACAGTGAGCCTGCCATATTGGCAGACTAGTTATCCATGTACTGGAGTGTCCATGGCTTACCATGCCCCATATTATTCAATGGTGGTGTGTGTTCACGGATATGTGCACATCACAATTCACAGAATAATATGAAGCTTGAGTGTTCATATTTTCTCCCATCCATGGGGCCCCCCAGAACTTAGGATGGGAAGGGTCCAGTGAACATACAATGCAAGATATTACTATAGACATTCAGTTTGTAAAACAGAAATATAGTGTATGAATCACATATATGCCTCTTAAAAATATTGCAGCCTACCTGGTAGCATTTTGGAAGCAAATCCTTGCTAGCCGCTGGCAATACTGCAAGAAGTTGTTCAAATGGCATGAATGGTTTTCCTAAATCCAAATGAATCTTCAGGTCACTGATATTGCGAATATCCGAGAGATAAGGTGCATAATGGTAGGGATAGTACCTACAAGAAGGGAACAAGATATTTTAGTTCTTCAAAATAAAGAGAGGCACAAAAATATATACATATTACAAATTTATTTATTCTAATAGCCTGAAAGTAGCAATGACTTCCAGAATAATGAGAAGTGTTACTCAGGATACATTATTCTGAAAATAAATACTGTTTGGGATGAGGAGAGCTTCCAAGTATTCATGTTTCCAGTACATGTTAACTAGTGTCAAAATGTATAACACAGAATACACTTTATCTCAAAGGTGATCTGCAATGTCACTTGAAGACGTCTTACCAGCTCCATGATTGAACCCCATGATAATAGTAGTGCAATATCCACTGTATTGCCTGGATATAACATTTTGCTTGGTCTGCTAGAAAGTCACTAAAACAAAAAGAAAAAAGATCATATATGCTTATATTAAATAATATTCTCTTTTCACTTATAAAGACAACTGAGGATTAAATTGTTTACCAACTACAACCATTTCAGAATCCTCAAAAAAATGACAAAGGTATTATGTTTAGGGATGAGAAAACATAATGTTAACACACTTTAAAGTCACCAACAAATAACTATGGGGATTACTGCACTACACTCTTATAGTGCTTCTATTCCACTTTTACTGCTGTGGTTGCCTCCTACTGTACTACCTACTGGCGTTTGTAGTTCAGTGAGGCCTAAGAGTCCTCTGGCTAAGAATTCTAAATGCCCCCTCCCTAAAGTGCAAATCCCAGAATGCAACAGGAGGTAGACGGAACAGTTAAAATGGAATAGCAGCACTATAAGAGTATAGTGTGGTGATCTACAGTGCCTACAGATACCTAAAAGAAGTATACTGCAACATTTCAATAATTTATCTGTAAGATACTCTCTCACACCTGTGGTTTAGCAAATTAAGACACTTTGATGTTCATACTTACTCTGAAACTACTTCTACACCCATCTTTGTCATATAGTAAGTCCTTTTGTACTGTCTAAACTCTGTTTCAAACAAATCATCATCTTCTGGCTCATCATCTAAAACAGCTACAATAAAATTAAAACAAAAAATGTTTTGAGCATTAATTGTTCCCATGTTCCAGAGTTATTAATATTGTCTGTGCTAAAAAACAAAGTGTAAAGTTCCAATGTTATAGGCTAACAAAAGTGAAGTTGGTGCTCTGATTTTAAAGTTAAACCAATCTGTTTGGTCAAGACAATCAAGACTACTATTGTGTTGACCACAGCACTCAACAGATGTCTTTGGAAAACCTACAAGGAGAACATGAAGGCAACATAAAACTTTGTTTTAATTCAACTGAGCTAACATATTTGACTATCATTTAGGAAACAGTGAAGACTATATCGCATCAATTTTGTGTGTTGTATATTTTCTAATAGCCAAAACCACTCAGTTAGGTAAATGGTTTTGGGTGGGGTTTTTTTGCAATTTAAATATTATCCAGTTATGTCAGGATTTTAATGTTTAGTTACCTTTGATATTAACACCACCAGTAAATTATACTGAATTGTGATGCTCTTTGGATTCATCTCAAGTTTTTTTGCCTACCAGACAAAGGGTGTGATTTATACATCCAACAAACAAATGACAAACATTTAAAAACCCTTCAAAATTATTATTATTATTATTATTATTATTATTATTATTATTATTATTATTATTATTATTATTATATTCAGCATTAGTATTATTAAGATACTTTTAAATTTTTTAAGGCATGACAACTCAATAGCATTTGTAATAGTAAAGTTCTAAGGAAGTCACAAAAATTGTTAATAAAGGCATTTTAAAAAGCTTGAAGAAATGAATTGCAAGTATATATGCTTGCTACGAATAGCCACCTGGAAAAAATTTGATTTCAGATTTAAATTACATCCCATTCCAGTTGCCCAACAGATATCATAGGAGTAGAGTACTGCCTTTGAACATATAGTTTCCATGGCATGATCATGGTTAATAGTCTCATTCTCCATTAATTTGTTTAGTACTCATTTAAGTAAAGAAATTTACCAGTTACATTATTGTCAAAGGTAATCAAAATAGTGTTTTAATAGCAACTTAATTTTTAATAAACTCTGAAGTTTTTAATAAACTCTGGAAGCAACAAGGCACCAACACTTGTATAAACAGATTAGTAAAAGAGGGGAATTCAGATAATATCTGCCCTTTTGCTCCAACCCTCTGTATCTTTCTTTGGTCTATGTACTCAAGCTTTTTGCTTTCTTCTTGCCTGCAAAGGTCACTTCCCTCTTCTCTGAAGAAGTTAGGAACAAAACACACTGCAGAAATAATCCAGTTTGAGACCGCTTTAACTGCCTGGCTCAGTGCTAAGGAATCCTGGGAACTGTAGTCTGTTGTGGCTCCAGAGCTCTCTGACAGAGAAAACTAAATGTCTCACAAAACTGCATTTCTCAGAATTCTCTAGTATTGAGCCAGGGCAGTTAAAACGGTCTCAAACTGGATTATTTCTGCAATGTGTTTTGACCCTTAGTTTGTTTTCTTTTGTTTGGATGGAGCATTCATGAGGCTCCAACCCTAATAATGGATGCTAGTTTACATCCACACATGACAGCCAGCTTTTAGGGCCTGTTGTAACCAAGTATAGGTCAACTTCTTTTGTCTATCTCTTTTACTAACCTAATATGGATTTCCTGAGAAAATAAACATCAGTTAATTCCTACTTAGTATACCAAATATTCCAACAGAAATAATGCCAACTTTCACTTAAAGAAGAGTAACATATATTAATAATGACAAACTTACTAATAATTTATCTACACAGATGAAGCATAACAGTTATTTCACAATAATTTTAAACTCACATTTTGAAGTGACTACATTTTCACTGTCCTTTTTCTCTAACGCTGCCAAGTATAAGGTATTCTCCTGACCCTGTTAAAATAAATGCACACTTTTGAAATAACATAAATGTCACAGGGAATTGATGCAAGAATGCAAACTAAAAATTAATGTGATTTCAAAGGCATTATGCTCTGGTTTACAAGAAAAAGCTAGTTAGAGAAGTTGGCTTTATGTGGATGAACAGTTTGATCATCTGGGTTACAATGGGAACCAAATTTCGGGCCTTTACAGACTGCCAGAAATAATGCAGCTTGAGACCACTTTAACTGCTCTGGCTCAGTGCTAGGAAATCATGGGAACTGTCGATTATTTTGGCACCAGAGCTCCTTGAAAGAGAAGGCTCAATGTTTCAGAAAAAACTACAAATCCTTTGATTCCCTAGCACTGAGCCAGGGCAGTTAAAGTGGTCTCAAACTGCATTATTTCTGGCAGTCTATAAAAGCTCTTACTCAGACACATTCAACTATAATCTGAGATGTGACATATTTTATGACAAAAATTACACAATTCTGCCTTAAACAATGTGTTATTAAAATGTATGAAAGAAAGATTAACAATGGAGTTTATTCTGTTTCCTGTATGATTTATCTTATATGCAATTTTAAATGATTATTTTACAAACATGTCAGTTGTTTTTGAGGGATATACCCATTCTGATACACGCTAGCTCTTTTGAAGTTCAGGGTGAGGAAAGGAAGAGTGGGAAGAAAGCAAAAATCATTTACACCAACAAAATGGAAGTCAGTTATTCAGATCAGTGACAAAGTTTGAACTTGAAGCACTTATATCTTTTACATTTTATCCTATGAATCTACTGATTCTCTCTTGTGGTTACTGCACTGGCATGATGCATAGACTAAATCCTCTTTCAACCCCTTAGAACAGGGACCGGCAACCTATGGCCCGGGGGCCGGTTAAGGCCCAGGTCCCTGGACTTACCGCCCCAGGCCGAAGGTTGCTGCCGCGGCGCGTTTTTGCCACTGTGCGGCCGCGTGCGCTGCGACCAGCATTTTGGAAATCAAAATGGCGGTCGCAACGCGTTTGCACATGCACAGTACTCCTGCACATGCGCAAACGCCTTGCGGCTGCCATTTTGATTTTCAAAATGGCGGCTGTGTGTGCTGCGGCGGCAGCAGCGGCATGTGCGGGGGGAGTCGCGCACGTCGGTGGAGGGCGCGTGCTCGCGCGCACGCACACATCTCCATTCCCCCCCCCCTCGGCCCAGGTCTCAAAAAGGTTGCCTACCCCTGCCTTAGAACAACAATCCCAGACACTTTCTCAACACATTGACAAACAGACATATATACAATCACAATTGGTAAATGCACACATACATTTTGCATATTTTGAAGAAACACTAGAATCTGCACGCATTAAAATCAAATTTGGGACTTTAACATTTCTGTAATAAACTTTTAATTTATTGGTTGAGACATGAAACAAATTTACTAACCTTGCGTTTCTTATGTTTTTTTGATTCTTCAGCTGCAATACCAGCAGCCTCATTCAGATATTTATTACCTACTTTGCTTTCAAACCACTTTAGATCTACAAAGACTTCATTGAAGTGCTCGCGATCAAACTGTTAGCATAAATGGAAAGAAAACAAAACAGTATTTAAAAATA